ACAACATATGTTGTGACTTGGTGCTATATAAATAAACTTGAACTTGGGGGAAAAAAATGCATTGCAATGTGTTTATCTATGCTGAGCCAAAACAAAAATGTAAAAAAAGAACTAGAGTTTTACCTGATGAGTGGGGAGTTCCAAGCTTAAAACTGCATGAGATGCTCTGTTTATGCAGCTAAATTCACATAATCTGACTGTCTTCCTATTGAAGAGCCGTTACAATACATGCTTTAAACACAAGCCGTGTTTCCATCAAAGTTTTTTATACACATTTTTGAAGTATCGCATTAGAAAAGGCAGATGGGAATGGCAAAATTTGCAAAAACTTCCTCAACTTCGCAAAAATGTTTTTACGCTCGAGGTGGTTTTTAGATTTTCCGAAAAAGAGTGAATGCGCAAAAGGGGAGATGGAAACACATTTGCCGAATAAGTTCTGGCGTAGCGAACATTTACTTCCATAAGCTGTTCCTGATGTCCAATAATTGTAGCRGCTGCAGCTGGACCGTCCTCCCGCTGTTCGCATTTTCCTGAATATTCCCATAACGTGAAGAAATGCATTTCTTTTTCTACGTCACCAATACTAGCTGATATGACAGAATAATTACAACTTTCCTGATAGTAGCAACACGTTCCTGATAACTTCTCTCCATGGTCCTGAGATGTGTAGTCTCTGCAAGTTTGCGACTCTATTTCCTGTTTACAGGAAATGCATGCATAACGTAACCATCTGACATGGGGCGGCTGTGGCAGAGTGGTAAGGGAAGTTGTCCTGGAACCAGTAGGTTGGCAGTTTGATCCCCGTTCCAGCTGTTGTCCTTGGGTCAAGGCACTTCACCCCCAATGCCTCTGCTGTGTGTCCCATCAGTGTATGAATGTGATTTAAAGCACTGATTAGTCTTCATAGATTGATTTGTACACGTTGGCTTTGTAGTGAGATCGAATGCTGAGTGAATGGGTAAATATGAAGCATGTTGAGTATCCTGGTTGGGTAGAAAAGGTGCTATATAAGTACAGTCCAAACACTTTGCTGGTTGATTCGCTCCAAGCCAGTTGATGGAAAAACAACGGATGCGCATTTCTTTGTTGCAACATTTTAAAAGTTTGCTCAAAATGTGAGATAAAATTAGACGGAAACACGGCTRCATTTTGGAGCCCAAAACATATTTATTTTTCCTTACTAAACTCAACTATTTTGAATCGACAGGTTACATTCTGCAGACTGCACCGAGYGCAGGCAAAATTCTACGGTAACTTACGTGGAGACTTACGAGGTGTTCTGATCCGGGGGGTTCTGACTGGTCACTGAGTGTGTATATACGTATGTCTGTGTGTATATATGTATGCATGTCATCCATCTATTTATCCATTTATTTTGAAGTGAGCGGACAGATGTTGGGTGTGTGGTCCTGTGTTTTCTTGGTGTATATT